CGAGCGAGAGCGCATGCGCCCGCACGGGCGCGCGCATTATGTACGTCACCGTTACTCCGTTTCGTGTCCTGTCCTCTCTCTCTCTCTCTCTCTCTCTCTCCCTCTCTCCCCACCACGCCATCACTCGTTGTACTCTCACGACACTTCTCTTTCTCGCTCCTCGCCATTTTTTCCTCCCTCCCCTCCTTCTTTCCTCGTCGCTCCTTCTCTCCACTATCCGTTTCCCTGTTCTTCGTTTCCCGTCTTCGTTGTGTCCCCTTCGTGGTCCGCCGTTTCGCCCGTGGGAGCAGATACACTCACCTTCCCCCACCATCCCAGGAACGTTCCATCCCCCACCAAACCGAGGCACGGTCGCGCGCTCCGGTCGTTGGCCCCGCGACCACGTCGTGTGTATATCCCACACTCTCCTTACCTACATCTGTATGCGCTCCCGCGGCCTGCTCTCCGCTCCAACACATCGCTCGCGCGAGATGCACACGCACGCACACCGCCGCAGCCGCGGCCGAGCCGCGGCGAGCCGCGCGAACACGCTCCTTTCGCGGAAAATAAAAGCGAACACAACCGGTGAACGTGACGCGGGACACTCCGCCGAGGCCTTTTCGACGGGTTCCACGCTCGCGTGCGAATTCTTCGAGGAGGGTGGATCGAGGAGGGTGGGGTGGAGAGGGTGGATTTTTCGATGAGATCGAGACGGGACTCTTCTCTGGGGGCCGGGTTTGGGATTCGTACTTGAGTGGAAGAGATGTATACGGAGAAGGGGAGGGGCGGAGTAGGAAAGTTCCTCGAGCGAAAGTTTCGACGATTATGGTGGTAGCTCGTTTTCGATTTTTTCTTTTTCTTTTTCTAACGTTCTTAATAACATTCTGTCTCGAAATTTTCTCTGATATCTTTGTCTTTCGAATTTTTCTCGCGTCGTGAGAAATAATTTGGAGATAGAGGTGTTTTTGGTGCTCACGGGGATGGAAAAAGATCCACGCCTGTGACACAATGGTGGCGCGTGCGCCAATATATACATATACACACACACATATACACGTAAGTTGTGGAGCAGAGCACGCAAAGGTGGTCGCCCCCTGACCCGTCACAGAGTTTGAGAGATCGATGCACCGCATTCTCCCACAATCCCACCCCTCCAGTCCCACCTCCCGCCGGATTCCCGCCAAGCCAAGGGGTTCAACAGGGGTTGCTGGCCTCGTCCGGGCATCCGTGATACCAGCTCGCGCCCGATAACACCTTCCCAATCTTCTAAATCCCTATGAATTTCCCTCCAATTCCAACGGTCCGAAAATCTACCTAGAATAATATAATATATTCGAAAATACACCATTGCCTCGGACGTTTTTATCCGAACGACCGAGAATCAAGGCAGAGAGATAAATAAATTACATTTCAATTATTTGATCAACGTTATTCGTTCTCATTCGTGTCGGTAAACGATTAAGAAATATTAACGTCGAATTTGAATCTAATCCAACTCCAAAAATTCCATCTCCAACGTGACAATAGGAATAATCTGTTGATAACAACTAGCGCCATCTACGTACGTATCCCTTGTCTTGACGATGATCTCGCGGCAAAGGAAATTCGTGACCCCGTGAAAGAGGCGCGTTTCTTCGAAAACAAACGCGAGCAGGGTTCATTGGCCCGGGGTTTACGAAGGCAGAGAGAGGATTTCAAAGCTTGGCCGGGGACAGAGATGCGGCGAGCAAGCGTGGCCGATCGCACGGGGAAGCTTAACATTGGCAACGCTGACAGTTCATTGACTTGCATCGAACGCGTGCACCGATTGACAGGCCGGGCGCGGAGGTGCAACGGTACATCGTTCTCTCGTCTCTCTGCCGGTCCGTGCACGAAGTTGAGGTAGGCGAGGTCGCGTGTCTGACGTCACGAGAGAGGAGTCACTTGACGACCAACAGTGTGTCGCCAATTCCGTACGCATACGTGCATGCACACGAAGCGCGCGTGCGCCTGCGCCCTGCCAGAGGCGAAGATACGACGACGACGACCACGACGACGACGACCACGACGACGACGACGTTCCACGCGTCGTTCGTTACGTAACCGCGCGCGAGGTCGTTGACCGATACGCGGCCGGGAACTTCCTCCGCCCTGACCTACCTTTTCTCATTCTCAATTAGCGGTTGCCGCATGAAAAAACCGAGCGTGCCCCCTCTCTGCCTTCCTTTCCTCATCCTTTTTCCTACCATTTCTCCCCGACATTTGTTTACTTACTTAGATCGGCATCGTAACGTGAATGAAAATATTTCGTATAAACGAAACCCACCCCCGCGATACGTTTGATCAAAGGGATGAAAATGACAAAAAAGGAATTGTGCATATCGGATGAAGCCGAGGATTATTGTTCGCTTATCGTGGAAAGAAAGTATCGTAGGGCGGACGCAAGCCCCGAAAAAGAGCGTATATACAAATATCTGTGTGTGTGTGTGTGTGTGTGTGTGTAAAAAAGGAGGGGTTCCCGCGTTTATTCGCGAGGGTCGCGAGAGAGAAGAGGATCGGGATGGATGGATATGCGTGGTCGAGGGAGAGGTTTTTCGAGAGGGTGGTTCCTTGCAGAAACGCCAGTCGAGGTGACGGCGGTGGTGGTGGAGGAGGAGGAGGAGGAGAAGGGAAGGAACCCGTTAGTAGAGCGTTGGAAGCGCGCGCGAGCCTCTATGGTCGCGTTCGGCCGACAAGGAGCGCGATATATATCGAGGGTTTGCCAGCACGCGCGAACGGGACAGGGAACGGAGACAAAACGGGACGGAGACGGATAGATCGGGCGAGGGAGCGAGAGGGAGCGAGAGGGAGTGGGTACAGCGCGCGCGAGAGCGAGAGAGAGAGGCGAGGCGAGGCAGAGCGCGCGCAAGGGGGACTCTCACTTTCACGCGGTGAACTGCGGGTGAACGTCCGGGAATTGGGTCAGAGTGTCCCCCACCTCGTCGAGCCAGAGGCAATGTGCCGAGGCTCTATGCTCTCTGTGCTAGAAAGAGCCAGTCCACAGCCAAGCCTCGATACAAACGGTCGCTTCTTTTTCCCCCGCCGAAAACTCGCGTCCAGAGTCTCGCATGATATCGTACAGTTACGAGCAGTTACGCTCGATTCGCTGGTGAGTTTGGTGGTTCGAGAAGCACCGTGAGTTTGTTCAACCGAAACGATACGTCTTGGTGGACGTTCCGAGTGTGATACGCGAATCTGTCGTATACCCGGACTTATTGGACTTGCTCGGCGTAACGCGCGTAATTCTACGTGAACGCGTAAGAGGAAGAGGAGTAGTAGGAAGAGTAGGAGAGAGATCAGTGCGCGTGCAAGGCACGCGATCGCCTTTAGGAGGGACCGTGTAAAACCGCGAGATAACACAACGACCGGGACCCGGTGAATTAATGGGGTGCTTGTGCGAATGTGACCTGGCCACCCCCCGCACGGGGACCAATTGCTCGTCGGGGTCCTCATCGGACAGTGACGGTCAGACTGACGAGGGTTTCGTTGGTGATTCGCAGGGATTCTTCCGGCGCAGCATTCAACAGAAGATTCAGTATCGGCCCTGCACCAAGAATCAACAGTGCAGCATCCTGCGCATCAACAGGAACCGCTGCCAATATTGCCGCCTCAAGAAGTGCATCGCTGTCGGGATGAGTCGTGATGGTGAGTCCATTTTTTATTATCTTGATTAAACGTCCCCTGCGTTTCAACTACGCGTAAGTTGCGAGTATATTCGCATATAGTCACAGAATTCTTTCTCAATCTACGATTCGCACGATTAATGTTGACAAATATCGCGACGGCGATAGGAATACAAACGGACGACGACGCAATCGAGAAACAAATTCTGTTGAATGTACGAATCTGGTGATCGCGTAACGCGCACATTTGTACCGAAAAGTAGTTTCTAAAATCTAGAGTGGAGGGTCGTTGACCGTTTGCGTAACACCGCTCCCCGCGACACAGCACAAGTGTCGCAATGGGCGAAAGTGGCCAGTTGGCCGTTTGAGAAAGCAGCCGCAATTATATATCCCCCTCGTGGTCCCTTTCGCGATGAGTTTGCTTTCTTTTCGAAACATCCATATCCATGATCCCGATCAGCCCGATGACCTCTTTTTCCCGCCGTGCAGATCGACGCTAGTAGATTCGACCGACGACGCGCAGACCTATCCGAGGTCAACGACCCGGGAGCATCGGTGGCCCGCCACGGATGCAACTACTACTGCCGTCTGATCTATAAACGTCCCTATCTCCTTTGGAGATCAAACTCGACCGAAATATTCGGCCAGCTTCTCGAACCTTCTCTTTAGAGTTAACTGGTACGGAATCATATTCTTCTCGTATTTACATCGACAAGTTACTTTCGACATTCCTGTAACCGTTAAGTATCTTTTCTTTTCTTTTCTTTTCTTTTTATTCAAACGATCGAGAGTTGATCAACGCGTATCTAGTCCGAGTCTTATTCGGACAAAGAGAGTCAAAGTTTGAGAAGCAAGTCCCTCCGCTGATAGCAGCGTGGATCGTGGCGCGGGGTCAATAGTCGGGCATTGCTCGGCTTGCATGCGACTCCACGTCTATAGAAAGAGTACCGCTACTCGCCGCTACGTACCCGGTGACCCTTCCACCTCCTTCCACGCCTCCCACTTCTTCGCCAGCGCGTACACTATCTCGATCATCTCCCGCCTTCCCCTACCACGCATTGCCCGATCTCCTTGTCCAAGCTTCCCCCCCACCCAGCGACCCGCACCGACAACGCGCCGTCGCGTGGCGCTACGCTCCATGCGGAGACCTCGCGAACTTCGTCCCCTTCGCGATCGTTTTTCTCCCCCACCACCACGTCACGCGTCAACTTCCCCTCCATCCTTTCCCCTCATCGCGACTCAGCTACCTGGCACTCGGGCGCATGCTCGCCTCGGACAGTCCCGCCAAACCGACATGACTGGATTCGACCGCCTCGCAATTTGCGACTGGATACGCGCGAGGAACCTGCTCCAGCGATTGCGCTCGATTTTCCCGTCGCTCGGCCAGTGGTTCGACTCGGGAGTCCCGCGTTAATTGACGCGATTAGGGGTTAATTAGGATTCTTTGACGAGGTACATGACACATGGTTACCAGCGATCAATGACATTCGCTAGGGGAAGAATACAGTTAGACGTTCGCGAATGATCTCTCTTCGGGACGGAATACCGTCATGATGTTCGAGCCGATGTCTGTGCACGCACGGATCGGCAGCTGTCTAGCGGTGGAACTCGTACGTGACTCGAACGGCACGCTTTATGAATAGTGATCACGATGACCTCGTGGTCGCCGGAACCGGCGAACTCCGAACGTTTCGAGGATATATTCGATTCGTTCGTCTTCGAACGAATTCGAGCCACGCCGATGTAAACACAGACCGATAAACGCAGTTAATCTAGCAGTAACAGTTAACAGAAAAGGATGTGATCATCCGAAAACTACGAAAGAAAGATCGATCGTCCGTGAACGGGATAAGTCCAACGACGGCAGCTGGTGACAGGGCAAATAGCCAGCGAGCCGAGGGGTTGTCCAAGGTCGTCGAGGGTAGCTTACCCCCAGCAAAGGAAATTCGCATCTGCGCACACGAGAGAAAGAATCTCTCCACTCTGACAACGGATCCTCTCTTCCTCTCTCCCTCTCTATCTCATTCTGTCTCGATTAGAATCCGTTCTTCGTCGCGCGTGTTCACGCACGAAAGGGGAAGAAAGGAAGAAAGAAGGGTGCGCAAGAGATCGGTGTGCACAGGTATACATACACACACATACGCGCGCGCGCATACACTCACGCGCTCGGAGCATACACATACGCAAACAAGATAGTCACGTACACCCTCTCCTTTTAGTGTGCTGCGCTGGCCGCTACGTCGCCGCGTACATTCGCTCAGCTATATAGTATATATGGGTCGGCGCTACGCCTCGTGCGGCTGTCGCTGAAACCAAGTTCAAGGCCAAAGGCTCGGCAAAGGCCACAATCGTGGCCGGTGGTGGGAGTCGTTGATGGCTGAATAAGTGGAGGGGCTGTTGAACGCAACCCGCGGAACATCACTCAGTCGGCTGTGATGCTGTCTCGCGTTTGCACGCGTTCTACTGTCGCGCTCCTTTCTTCAACTCTCTGCTCGCTCGTGTGCGAACCAGACAGCCGTGTGTCTGGCGGCGCGCCGTCCACGCCGCGCCATATAACACGATTCTCGTCGGAGTGACTCGCGGTAACGACGACAGTCAGCCGATCGAGCGGATTATCACGATACCATTCCAAATAATAAAATAAAACTAGAACGTTAGAATATTATAGAAAAAGGAAGAAGTAGATTCATAAGTCACATACACACACACATATATATATATATATACACACATATATATATATAAAATCGCGTGTATGCTGTGCCATACGAATTCACCGCGAACGTCGACCCGTAGTGATCGTGCCGATGGGAGATTAATTTTGGTGCGCGGTGAAGTTCGCTCCGGATCTACACGCCGCAGAAACGATTAAGGGATCGAGCGATTCGTCTCGATCGTTTTTCCTCGATCGTCATGGGAGACGAGTTACCCATACTGAAAGGAATCCTGAACGGAGTTGTCAACTATCATAATGCACGTACGTGTTCCACAGAGTGTTCGTTCAATAATTTTTTTTTTTTTTTTCCTTCGTTCGCCGAAAAATAATAATCGTCGTCGCTCGTTTCCCTTTCACGGACCCTCCACACCGTGTCGCTCTCGTGACTTTCTAACGGAGGAAGGATTCGTAGCACGAGGCCAAGGCAACCGCCACTTTCGTTTCTCGCCGCGCGAGAAAGTCGTGCGCTTTCCCCTCTCGATTTTTTCTTTCTTTCTTTTTTTCTTTTTTTTTTTTTTTTTTTTTTCATCCTCGATCGTGTGCAACGAATCCATCGAAATCGTATCCCCAATTCCCAAATATACACGTGCTCGGATCAATCGTGGTGATTAACGACGATTAAGAAGAAGAAGAAGAAGAAGAAAAAAAATGTCATCGTATGAATCAATAGTGTTTCATTATTGTTAACGAGATTTTAATATGTAACGAGGAAATGGGAGGGTGTTTCGCGGAATGACACGTATCAGTTTTCCTCGTAACTCGTAAGCGCTAGAAGCGCTCGAAGGTCGCGGGACGCAGCTCGACACGCCGTGTCCGTTGCATGATTCATCCATTGATCGCATTAACTATTCATCGACGTGTCCTTCCTTCTGCTTACCACTGACCACCGAACGAACCGCGTCGCCTCTCTCTCTCTCTCTGTCTCTTTCTCTCTTTCTCTCTTTCTCTTCGTCTCTCTCTTCCCGTCTATCTAATCGTTGGCCATCCGTGTTGTTTCTGCTTATAGCGGTACGATTCGGCCGTGTGCCCAAACGTGAGAAGGCCAGGATTCTGGCTGCTATGCAGCAAAGCTCCCACAGCCGATCTCAAGAGAAGGCAGTAGCGGCCGAGCTGGAGGACGAGCAACGGCTTCTGGCCACCGTTGTGCAAGCCCACCTCGACACATGCGACTTTACCAGGGACAAGGTGGCACCGATCCTGGTCAGAGCTCGAGAAACGCCTAACTATACCGCCTGTCCGCCAACCTTGGTGAGTATACCACGTTCGTAAACTCGTCTTTTTCTATCTCTTTCTCTCGATCTTTTATCGCCTTTTTTTTTTCTTTTTTTTTTTTTGCTCCTTTTTTCTTTTGACTTTGACGTTTTTCGGTCTCTCTGGATTTTTATTATCGCTTACGTCAATACGAAACGGACCTTGGATCATCCGAGATCGCTCCGTTCTACGCGGAAATCGAACCAGTCGACCTCGGCGCCAAACGAGGAAGACTAGCTCTTTTTCTTTTTCTTTTTTCTTTTTCTTTTCTTTTCTTTTCTTCTCCAATCGCTTCTGGAATCTTTTCTCACGCTTTTAATCAATCCGTCTAATCCGGAACCCGTCTCTGTTTCTTTGCGGTTTCAGGCATGCCCCCTGAACCCTAACCCCCAGCCGTTGACTGGCCAGCAAGAGTTGCTGCAAGATTTCTCGAAGAGGTTCTCGCCCGCGATCCGTGGAGTGGTAGAATTCGCGAAACGCATCCCCGGATTCAGCCTGCTGGCGCAGGACGATCAGGTGACGCTGCTCAAGGCGGGCGTTTTCGAGGTGTTGCTTGTCCGGCTTGCTTGCATGTTCGACGCCCAGACGAACAGCATGATCTGCCTGAACGGGCAGGTGTTGAAACGGGAATCCATCCACAACAGCAGCAACGCCCGTTTCCTCATGGACTCGATGTTCGACTTCGCCGAGAGGGTGAACTCGTTGCGGTTGTCGGACGCCGAGCTCGGCCTCTTCTGTTCCGTGGTCGTGATAGCCGCCGACAGGCCGGGATTGCGCAACACCGAGCTGGTCGAGCGCATGCACAACAAGTTGCGGAACGCCCTCCAGACGGTTCTCGCGCAGAACCACCCCCAGCATCCGGACATCCTGAGGGAGCTGCTGAAAAAGATCCCAGACCTGAGAACCTTGAACACCCTCCACTCGGAGAAACTGTTGGCGTTCAAGATGACCGAGCAACAGCAACAGATGCAAGCCCAACAGCAACAACACCAGCAACAGCAACAGCAAACGCAGCACGTCATCAACGCTCAACAACAACCGCAACAGCAGCAGCAGCAGCAGCAACAACAACAACAGCAACAACAACAGCAGCAGCAGCACTGGCCTATGGAGGAGGAGCCCGCGGCGTCCTGGGGGTCAGCCTCGGACGTTACCCTGGACGAGGCTGTGAAGAGTCCCCTGGGCAGCGTGTCGAGCACCGAGAGCACCTGCAGCGGGGAGGTCGCCTCCCTGACGGAGTACCACCACGTGGCCCCGCCCAGCGGGCACCACGCGTCCAGCGCGCCCCTTCTGGCCGCCACCCTGGCGGGCGGCCTCTGCCCCCATCGTCGGCGAGCCAACTCGGGCAGCACGAGCTCAGGGGACGACGAGCTGCACCGTGCCTCCCTCTCGAAAACGCCCCAACCACCCCAATGCCCCCGATTCCGCAAGCTCGACTCGCCGAGCGACAGCGGGATCGAGTCGGGCACCGAGAAACCGGACAAGCCGGCGAGCAGCAGCGCGAGCAGTGCTCCGACCTCGGTCTGCTCAAGCCCCCGCTCCGAGGACAAGGAGGTGGAGGACATGCCGGTGCTGAAACGGGTGCTTCAAGCGCCACCCTTGTACGACACCAACTCCCTGATGGACGAGGCGTACAAGCCCCACAAGAAGTTCCGCGCCCTGCGCCAGAAGGACAGCGCGGAGGCCGAGCCGGCTGTGATCGTGCAGCACACGCAGTCCCAGCTCCATCTCCATTTAACCTCGCCGCCCGCCCGAAGTCCGTCGAGCCAGGCGCAGGCGAGCCAATGTCCCCAGACGGCGAGCCTGTTGAGCAGCACCCACTCGACCCTCGCCAGAAGCCTGATGGAGGGGCCAAGGATGACGGCCGAGCAGTTGAAACGCACCGATATCATTCACAATTACATAATGCGGGGCGAGGCGAGCCCGAGGTCGCCGAACGCGTCGCCCTCGCCCGCGGAGCAATGCGCGTCCACCACCACCATCACCGCGCGATCGCCCCAAGGATCTCAAGGATTGCTGCAGTGCGCGACCACCAACTACTCGACGACCAGGTGGCCGGCCACGTCCGTCATCACGACGACGACGGGCGCCCGGCAGCAGCAGCAGCAGCAGCAACAGCAACAGCAACAGCAGCAGCAACAGTCTTCCTCGGACTACCTCATGGTCGGGAATTCGCCGGCCTCGTCGCCAAGGTACCTGTCCGCGGCGGCGACGAGTAGTACGAGCACGAGTCCACGGCCAGCCTCGAGTACGGCGGCGACGCTCGTGTTGTCGGGCTGCCCTAGCAACATGATGGAGCTACAGGTGGACATAGCGGACAGTCAACAACCGTTGAACCTGTCGAAGAAGTCGCCGTCCCCGTCGCCCAGGCCGTTGGTAGGCCCGTGCAAGGCGTTGTCCCTCGAGGCGTAGTGGTCTGATGAACGGGTCGTATGAACGTGTCTTGTCGCTCGTGACGGGTGATGATGATGATGATGATGATGATAATGATGATGATGATGATGATGATGATGATGATGATGACGATGATGATGATCGGTTCGTTGTATATTCCGTATAACACCCCGCACGATCCTGGACGACAGAGCGCGACGACGACAACGCGCTTCAACGCAACAAGGAGGAGAGAACCCACCTATAAATTGTATCGGCTGAGCGCGGCGATCAACGAATGGTGTGTTTCGTCGCGGCGGCGTGTTGATCGCGAGATGAGAAGGGGAAAAGAAAGGAAAGGAAAGAAAAAAAAAAAAGAAATTGGTAAATCAACAGGACAGGTTGGTTGGTGGTGTGTAATAAAAAAATGTTGGTGTGTCGCGCGCCACGTCGTTCCCCTCCCGAGACACGAGGAGTGAGAATGGAATGGAAGAACGAGGAATTTAAAAAAAAAGAAAAAAAAAAAAAGGAAAAGTGCCAGGACGCTCGGAAGCGCGTGATAAACCAAATAATTTATTAATTTAAACTATTAACTATCGATATAAAAGAAATTTGCGCGAGACACACGAGGGAGTATGTATGTAACACGATTGGTGGCCAGATGGCGGAACCGTGAAAGTTCTGGACATTTTGGGACACCCGGTGCACGATACGCGCGTGTTCACGCGCGATCGGGAGGAATGGAAAGAGAAATAGGAGGAGGCGGAGTGTGCTAAGTGTATGGGAGGATGCTATCTGTTTTCGTTTCCTTTTTTTTTTTTTTTTTTTT